ACCGGGGGGGGGGGGGGGGCTTCTCCACTGACGACCAATGTAAAGGGGCCCTTATTCATTGACCACCAATGTCAGAGACATTGTTCCCACTGACTATTAATATAACAGGGCATTGCTTCAATTGACCACCAGTGTAAGAGGGCCCATCCCCTATTGACCACCAGTCTAGCCAATCTAGGGGTGCTCTTCTCCACTGACCACCAATGTAAGGGGGCCCTTATTCTTTGACCACCAATGTAAGAGCATTGTTCCCACTGACCGTCAATATAACAGCGCATTGTTTCTACTGATCACCAGTGTAAGGGGGCCCTTCTCCTACTGACCACTGATCTAAGGGAACCCTTCTTCATTCACTGTCAATCTAAAGGGGGCTCTTCTACACTGATCACCAATATAGGTGAACATTTTACTGACCGCCTTTTCCCCACTAAGGCATAGATGCCCCCTGTCTCTGGGGCCCTTATGCATTTTAAATTACCCTCTTCAACCGCAATCCCCAATCATTAAGTTATTCCAGCTAAGTCCAAATCCCATTCGCACTGCCACGGTCTCGAAAACCACAAGGTATATGTGGTGCTCCAGGTGACCACATGGATGGCGCCGTGCAAACACTAGTAATGAATAAAGGTAATTCACCAGCACACACTTGAAAAAGATTGTTTTAAGTATTGATATGTTTATTCAATACCAGATGTCACATACTGTCATACGGTGCTAACGTTTTGGGTCCGCTCAGGGATCCTTCATCAGAGCGACAGTGACAGAAGAGCTGTCATTCTCGTACAAGGACTAAAAAAGTGCCGTCACCTGATTGGTTGTCTAAGGTAACACAGACACTTTTCTTTCTGCTGGTTTATACAGGTGATCCTTGATGTACATATCTCAGGGTCCTGTTCTCGGACAGGATACAGATCCTGGTAATTTATTTTATTCCTATATGAAGTAGGGCACAGCGAAAGGGACATCGTCTATATTTACCCATCCTAATTATTTTTAATTGTCCCCGCAGCTTAATTAGTGGCCTTCCAGGGCACGTACTGTACACTGACACACTAACCGCAAAATCTTCATTTGTTTTAATAGCAATCAAGTGATGTCTCATTTTTTTTTTCCTGTCTGCTGCAGATTGGCAGTCACTCTGACAACACACCTCCTCGCTGTATAAATGAAGAGGAAACAGTGAAATCCCGAGAGAAGGAGCTCCATCCCATTAGGAGAATGGATCCTCATGGGATTTCAAGTTCTCAGCTCTGTTGAGAGGCACGTTGACATCACTCCTGCAACTTGTAAGCATCAGAGACCGGAGCAGAAGGATGTTTTTTTTGGGGGGGATGGGGCAACAGTTTTCTTACAAATGGTGTTTTAAAGGTGTGTGTGTGTGTGTGTGTGTGTGGGAGGGGGGGGGGACCTT